GTTGGTCACGCACAGATTCCATTCCAAGCATACTTCAAGCAGGCTTCTCCCATTGTCATTCACTCTCTCGTCCCCAAACATACCCAGAACTCCTTCATACCCATCACGCTTTACTCCAACCCATCCATTAAAGTCCCCTAACATCACGATCCGTTCATTCTCTCCGCATTTATTCAAGACCTCTTTCATACTATCCCAAAATTCCTCTCTCTCTTGTTGTGATTTTAGTGATCCACCTCCACGCAGCTCCGTCGGTGCATAGACCCCAAGGATAAACAAGCGGGTGAGTCCGACTTTTGACCTAATCCAGAGGAGTCTTGGGCTTACACATTCATGCTCCATCACACATTCAACCATTCGAGATGAAAGAATCACACCAACTCCCTGACAGCCTCGGCTGGTTTGGGGGACTCCCGACCAGTATGCTGTGTAGGGGCCATGAACCGTGGTGTCACATCCTTTTCTCTTGGTTTCGTTCACGCACAGAATATCAACGCAACGTTCATCCATCATCTGACATACTCCATCTACCTTACCATCCATCCCTCCTCTTACATTCAAAGTAGCGAAGCGGCTCTCCGTGGGCCGCTTTTCGCCCCCGCGAGAAACGAGATGTGATGGGTGGCGAACCACATCGCCGCCATTTTGGTTAATTTTTTGATTATCCATTGCGTTCCCACGTTCAAAGCTCCGGTTGCAAGCCTATTAATGCTGGTGTTCCACAAGGCTGCGTGCTATCGCCAACGCTGTTTCTTCTGCATATCAATATGTTGCAAACCCGTAACATTCATTGCTATGCAGATGACAGCACTGGTGATGTTTTTTACACCGGCCGAGCCAATATTTCTCGGGAAAACGTCTCCGAGTGCCGGGACAAACTTGTGTCTGAAGTCGAGTCTTTGCTGACCAGAGTCTCGGATTGGGGGCGACTAAATCTAGTCCAGTTTAACCCTCAGAAGACACAAGTTTAACCGCTAAAAAGAACCCCTTTGTCGTATCTCCTCAGTTTCAAGGCACTTGTTGCCTCAGCCAGTATCGGAATCCTCGGCGTTGACATATCAAGTGACGTGCAGTTTCGTGGTCACTTGGAAGAGAAGGCCAAATTGGCCTCTAAAAAGCTTGGCGTGCTCAGCAGAGCGGGACAGTATTTCATGTCGGCACACCGCCTGCAACTTTATGAGTACAGGGCGCAGGTTCGGCCGCACATGGAATACTGTTCCCATCTCTGGGTTGTGGCTCCCCAGTACCAACTCCTTCCACTTGACCGCATCCAGCACAGAGCGGCTCGAATTGTCGACGACCGAGTGCTTTCCGATCGGCTCGATTCACTGGCACTGCGAAAAGATGTTGCATCTCTTTGCATTTTCTTTCGCATATACCATGAAGAGTGCTCTGAGTAATTGTTCGGATTAATCCCAGGCGCCAAATTTCGTGAACGCCCTACGCGCCAAACGTCCCGATACCATCCACACCATCTGGATGCTTGGCGGTCCACCACTGTACGTTTCAAAAGGAGTTTTCTTCCGCGTACAACCTCTGTGGAATAGTTTACCACCGGCGATTTTCCGGACCGATACGACCTGAGGACCTTCAAGAAAAGAGCTTACTCCTTTCTAAAGGGCCGGCAACGCACCTGCAATTCCTCTGGTGTTGCGGTTGATCATGGGCGGCGGTAGTCACTCAACATCAGGTGAGCCGCATGCTCGTTTGTCCCCTCTTCTATAAAAAAATATAAACTCTATTTCAAAACAAACAAATTAAATAAGCAAAATGGCGGATTGTGTCAGCGCTACTGAAGTTAGCAAACGTGTCCTGGCCGAAAACCGTTTAGTTTCGCCATTTTGCTTACAAGCGCTTGCTAGCGCTTTTTTCTGCCAAATGCACCCAATAATTAATTTAAACAACGACAGCTCAACTAGTTGTACTGAAAGTGATTGAATAAATTTATTTTTAATCTAGTTTCAATCTTAAATTTTCATAACTTTTCCTCTAGAAATAAGCAGTAACAACAAATACGAAGAAATGGATAAATCTTGTGTTTTAAATTTATTTTGGTATTTATTTTTGTTTTTAATTGATATTGGTATTATTCAAACCAAACTGTAAATGATTATCGTTAATATTACGAACGATTTAACGAACGACCACGTGAACAAATAATTTTTCTACAGATTTTTATATGTATAGATGTATAGATATGTATGTAACTTTATTTCGTATTTGCTTAACGTTACCCGTTTGCGCGATCTACAACTGTGACACAGTATTCGTTCCAAATTGTCGGTCTGGTGTTATATTAGTACGTATAGTATATTTCTTTCCTATGATTTAATTGTATCATCTTGCAAACCACACTCTTCTTTTATCACACAGTTTCTCACCCTGTCACTCAGATTCAGCCCTAACATACTCCTTAGCGACCGCATTTCTACTGAATTTATTCTACTCTCGTGCTTCTTCTGCCACGCCCAACTTTCACTACCATATGTTAAAATAGAGACTAATACAGCATTGTGAATTGCCATACGTGCCTTCTTTGACACATTCTGACTTTTCACAATAGAGTGTAGAGCCCCATTTACTTTATTTCCTGCATTCACTCGTCGTTCAATATCCTTATCATATCTCCCATCCCTGCTGAATACACATCCCAAATATACGAACTCATCCACTTGCTCAATTAACTCTCCTTCTATTCTTATTTCACATACCGTTTTGCTTTCTTCTCTTTCAAAAACCATCACTTTCGTCTTACTTGCATTCACTTTCATTCCCTTTTCTTTTAATGACCTGTTCATTAATGTAACCATCATTTGCAACTCGGCCGCCGACGACGCAAGCATGACTTGATCATCGACGTACAAAAGGCATTTGATGGTTAACTCAACCATTCTAACCCGCATTCTTCAACTTTCAAATTTTCCAAACAACTGTCCATAAATAGGTTGAACAGCCACGGGGAAGCTACACAGCCCTGTCTGACACCTTTATGGATGCCAAACCAGTCCGAGTAGACCCCGTTGATTCTAACACAAGCATTCGAGTCCCTATACAGAGACTTTAATGCCTGTATTAAACCAGCGCTCAACCTAAATGCGTTCAGAGTTTGCCATAACATATCCCTGTCCACTCTGTCATAAGCCTTTTCCAAATCCATGAACGCACAAAAAACTTTTTGGTTTTTCGCCAAAAACTTCTCCGCGATAATACGCATGGAAAAGACTTGATCTGTACACTCCATTCCCTTTCTAAATCCCGCTTGCACATCCCAAATTTTTTCATCAGTTTCTTTCATAACTCTTTCAATTAGTACCTTAGCATACAGTTTTCCCACAATGCTAAGAAGGCTGATACCACGGTAGTTTTTACAGTCCTGCTGTGACCCTTTTCCCTTATACATGGTTACTGGTAACTCGACGTATTCCCGCCAAGGCGTGATAGTTGGGGTCATAACCTATCAAATGAACCATAAAATGCATTATGCAAATGTGGACCAATTTCGAGATATTTAGGTTTAATTATTTTTTTCAAAAATCCCAAAAGTCTGGTGTCAAAACTTTCTAAAAAAAACTTACAGCTGTATTATTTTCATTTTATTTCTTACTTAATGAAAACCTGGATACTTATTTATCAATACAGTGTGCAAAAAGTCTCATCATTTTCGAAGTAAAGCTACTAAAAGTACAACTTTTTCCAAACAGAAGATAAGTAATTAAGGATAAAAATGATTTTGTGAAAAATAATTTTTCTTTTTTTTTTATTCATGTTAAAAACATCCCTATTTATCTAGATACCTAATGAGCTTGTAACTTGTAACTTAAATGGTACAGAAAAAACTTGAAAAAAAGGGGTCAGGTAGACAAGTTCCGAGTAGCAATGTTTTGGGTAATCCCAAACATTCGTTTCTCGGAACCTTATCAACAGCTGCGGGAATGCTCGTAAAAGATTGTGCGTTTGAACTTACGCTATTATTTACATTTAGTGTGCCCACATACATTTAGTACCCCAACTATCACGCCTTGACGGGAATACGTCGAGTTACCAGTAACCCTGTATATTGGGACTATCACGGCTTTGCACCAGTCTCCCGATACCCGCTTTAGTTCCCAACATAAATTAAACAAGGTGTACAGCAGACCTGCCACCACGTCCTCTCCAGCCCTTAGCATTTCGAGTGAAACTATCATATCCGGCTGCCTTACCTACTTTCATGCTTTTCATTATTTCATCTATACTTATCTCCCTATCTCTTTCATCTTCTTTCGGAATTTCTATTTCATTTAATTCACACGTCTTATCACTCATAGGATTAAGAAAGGAATGCTTCGGTGGTTTGGTCATGTAGAAAGAATGAATGAGAAAAGACTGACAAAGCAAATATATGTTGCAGAAGTGAATGGAAGAGTCGGAAAGGTACGTCCTAGGCGGAAGTTTGTCGACCAAATTGGCGATATACTAAAAATGGGCCAAATTAAGAGTACCCTTAACCGACGAGCATGTATGCGTAGGTATATGGATCTGGAAGAGGCGAGAGGTATGTCAGGATCGTGCTAAATGGAAGTCTGTAATCTCTGCCTACCCCTCTGGGTGACAGACGTGAGTGTTATGTATTGTATGTATGATTTAATTGTAATGTACCAAGTATTTTCATTTACAACACTTACACAGACGTCTTTAAGGACACCCACGCTACAGAACAAAATGCGGTGATGGATTCACTTGCGCAGCAATATTTAGTTTGTTTTGTGTGAAATATTAATTTATAAATAAAATCAATGAAAGGAAGACATATTAACACGACTTTATTTTTGCTTTTTAAAAACTAAATCACAGCCATCCTTTTTGCTTGTATAGCACATAATTTTATTCGATAAATTTAAAAAATGTTATATATCACTTTTATTACTAAAATCTGAATATATTTTTTGCAATTTGATTTGTTTCAGTATTGCTCACTAGTATTCTTTTTGCGTCAGCAGTGTTCGTATGAAATGTAATTGCTAAAGTCCAGTTCCTGATAAAATTAAATGCTGCGACGTACGAATATGTTCCTGAAAAGATTTGCAAGTGAAGTACACACCACACGTATTGCAGTAGCACTTCTCTTTCATTTCACCTTCTTTTATTTCTATGTTATTTAATTCTAATTGTTTTAAATTGTTTTTATGCTGGGAACCATTGTTATGCTCGTCAATGTTCGTGGCATTATTGGTCAATTGAACGTCGCAAATTTCACACATGTGACTAGACATTTCATTTTTTTTCTTTTGATTATTAATATGCTGCACAGTTAAAACGTGTTCAGCCATTGTTTCCTTTATTATAGCTATATTACAGACTTTACAAATGCTATTTCTCTTCGTCTTCGTAAGGGCCGCTACGTGAGTTTCGTTTTGAACGTGATTGAAAAGAGCATATTTCTTCATATCCATCTGACACACCAAACAGTTAAAGCAGTCCGATTTTACTTGTATTTTGTTTTTTGATAACATTTCTTGCAACATTGTGACGTGCTTTCGTCCTCCTATATGCATTTTCAATGTAGAAACACTGCTAGGTACTTTTACACAACAAACTTGGCAGTTTACCTCACCCGGTTTATTAGTAAGTTTTATTTCAAAATATTTTTGTTGTATTTTTTCTGAACTGCTGTGAGAAACTTTCAAGGCTTGCCCCTTGATTATAGAACTACCTGTATTTGACTCGGTGTCGGTGTGATCTTGGTTTTCTGCAAAAGCATTTACTATATCATTAGTTAAAGTTCTGACCATATTTACTGCATGGGATCGCTTATTAATATGATCGAATTGGTCTCCTACAGTCACAGGTTCACGGCAGCCGTCACAAAAATACTGGTTCCCTGTCAGCTTCAACCGGTTCTGTACCAGTAGTATTGCAGCATTATTGTTATGATTGTACCCATTAACATGTTCTTGAATATTTTCTGTTTTATTTGGAATGATCACTAAGCATATTCTGCACTTCAACTCCTTCGGATTTATGGTGATTTCTAAAATATCTTCCGCTATTGCTGTTTCACTAGTAACGGATATCGAATTTTTATTATCATGTCGACTTGCTGTTTGTATTACAGAGTTTGGGTTTGTATCTTTTTTGATATTTATTTTTCCGTTTTGCTCAACAACTGGAATATTTTTGGCAGTACTTCCCGACGGCGTGTCTTTAGAAAATATCTCTGCTGGAGGATTAACACTAGCTTTTTCTTTGTCATTTTTAGATACACTTGCCAATTTCTCATGGCCTTTATCAATTTTATTGCTCTTGTGGTAGTTAGCCAAATTATGTTTATGCAATTTTCCATTATAATGTGTACTGATGTTATGGGCATTGTTTGGTACATTAACTTGGCAAACAACGCAAAAATGTTGTTTAATATCGTTACCTGTGGCTTTTGTAATAATATTTCCTTTTGTGGGCTGGTCAATAATTTCACTTTTTAAATTCAAAAGCAACCTCTTATGTTTTGTAGAATCAATATGAACCAGCTCATTTTCTATACGAATATAAACAGTGCATGCTTTGCAAAATACATGATTTTCCGTCTTAAACATTTTGTTTTCAGCCAATAAAGCATTGTAACGATCAGCATGATCTGTACTCGTTAAATGAACGGTATGGTGGGTATCAACTAAACAATTACAAACCTTACATTTTAAATTATCCGCTTCAATAGAATATTCTATAAGATAATGATAGATGTGTTTCTCGTTCGTTTTATGCCTTATACCACTAGCATGTGAATGAATATTATTGCTGTGAAGGGTAATATAGCAGATACTGCAGAAAAATGTTTTAGATTTACTAACATCCAATTGAACCACACCCTCGTTCTTTTCAAGCTCTGACTGGGCGTTGTTTATATTATCATCGGCAGTTTTAGCAGCGCAATATTTTGGTTTTTGTTCTTCATTAATTTCAAGTGCAGTAATATTCGTTTTGTGAACATCACTTTGTGTTTCGAGTTTTATTTGGCTTGTGCTCTCATTTTCGGATAAGATGGCATTTTGCAATAACGCTTGGTGTCTTTTGTTGTGTATGTGGAAATCGACATCATTTTCGACTAACTCATTGCATAGAATGCAATGGCTTTTTGTATTGTCCAACTGTAACAAGAAAAGCTTGTATGTAGGCACATCGTCTTACGCTTTTGAATATCGCGTAGTGTTGGTGTCAGTGTTATCCCAGATCGTGTCATAGATTCGAAAAAAGCGACAGAGGGAAACATTATAGGAGATGGGCAGCAGCCTTATTTTTATTATAGAAAAAGGGTGACAAACAAACATTCAGTCCACCTGATGGTAGGTGGATGCCGTGGCCCACACACATCTAAATTTATCTTCAATTAAGAATCAAAATACAGATGCGTTGCCAGCCCTGAGAACTGAGATGGAATGCCTAATTTCCAGTGAAAAGAGTCTCCGGTCCTCTACACTCACCATACGAAACACAGCAGCATTAAGCTGTTATTTTATGCTGGTATTCTGTGAGAGGGTGGCCCTACCCCGGTCGAGCCGACCCATTCGTGCTGCAGAATGGCTCTACCACGTAAAAAATAACATCTCAATAACAACTAAAAATAAAAATTCATTTGTCCTTTCGTTAAGAGAATAAATGTGACAATTTTTTTATTAGAATCAGGGCGAGAAATGGGCACACAGTCCACCTGGTGGTTAGTGGACTCTGTGGCTCATAGACAACTACATCTATCCTCTATTAAGAATCAAAATGCACATGCAGATAGAATGCCTCGTTTCCAGTAAAAAGTGTCTATGTCATCCATACTCATCATAAGAAACGCAGCACGATTAAGCTGCAATTTTAAGCTGGTTTTCTGTAAAAGCGTGGTCTTTCCCGGTCGAGCCAACCCGTTCAAACTACATCAATAATAAAGCTGCAGCATGGTTTTACCACAGAGACTTAGAAACTTATGAATTTCGACACAAAAAACTTATGTCTCATGTTTATGTAGGACTTACAATAAAAAAGAATGTACCAACAGTGTTGCTTTTTGATGTCGTTGGAGTTGAGTTTGTGTTTGTGTAGGCAATGTGTGGCTGTTCTCATCTCACAATTTTCCATCTATACCCATTTTTTTGACTATGTGAGGTCCGAGTAGTTCACTACTTTTTGGACTTACCCTACCCCACCCCCTCGGGATTACAGAAGTGTTGCTATGTTATGTATGTATATGTAGCACTATAGAATCTGCGTAGAAAATAGTTGCCGGCAACATTTTAAAGTTGTTGCCATGGTCAAAACTATCTAGGAGTACATTGTACAAGACAATAAAGCTATCTACCAAAGACAATCAGATCTTTCTAATAATTGCAGGAACAATAATTACAAGAGCAACGAGAATAGAGGAGTAATAGGGACCGTGTATCTAGACTTTTACGCCAAGTGGTGGCAAATATCGTAACTAATTGGGACCGTTTCACAGAGTACATTATAGATTGTTTAATTTAACATGTGATTAATGCGTAATTACTAATTACATATTTATAAAATATATTGATATAGTTTTAATAACGTCAACTTTATTGTAATAATACATCACGTCCAAAACGTGGAATTGATGTGAAAGTGAAATTTTATAAATTCCCGGAGAGCATGTATGGAGCTGTATGGAAAATAGCAAAACGTAAACATTGGATAAAAGCAGTAAAAAAATTATGTGTAAGTACTATATAAATTAATAATTTATTACAAAATTAAAATAAATTTTCAGATTATACTCGAGGCATGTAAAAAGTTATTATATTGATAACTAAGTTCTTATTAGTTTATTATTATGATAGTAAGTTTATCATTATGATATTTATTTTATAACAAAATCTTAAGGTTTCATTTTTTGGTTTCAGAGAAAATCCGAAAAAAAAAATGGTGCCCAATCAAATAAAAATACAAGAATTTGTAGTTCTCATTTACGACAAATCGGAACATCTGTTACATCCGTCTAATGTTCTCTCGATTTTTCCTGGAAGCGAAAATATAAAATAAATATTCAATCCTTGGAGGAGCATTTCCAGCGAGTCAAATATCATGAACTATTAAGTTTCCTGTATTAATAAATATCCTGTGAGTAAGGAAACTAATAATTTAATAATCACCACCAATAAAATGAATGCAGTAATGGAGCAATATTATATTTTTTTTTCCTTTTTCATCATTCTGGCCACGTATAATATTACTGACTGGTTGAAATCCGTATTTTATTATTATTTCCATTTTTCACAAATATTTTATAATGTTTGTAATGAATGTTTTGATCCCACTATCTTCGGCAAAAGAACACTAGAGGGCGCTTATTTCGGCAATAGTGCTGCCTTTATGTTTCGCGCACGGTCCCTATAAGGGCATTCAAAACATTTTCTGCCACCAGGGCAGAGCTACTTTGGAATGAGATGAAACATTAGACAAGTTTCCCGCCAGAGAAGATAATTCCTATGGATAAAAGCAGAAAAATTAAAAAAAAGACTTGAAAATGTGCAAAATATTTAAGATCAAACAACTGAGGCATTGTGTCTATAATACTCTAGAAACTGATAAACATTTGATTAAAAATAACTGACATTGTGTAACAAATAAGTTAATCTCGGTGTCCCAATTAGTTAAGTTAGTAGTTAGTGACATCTGATGAATCAGATTATTGGCCCTCACTATTGACAAAGGTATTTATGATGTTATGATAAACTCTTATATAGTAAACTCATCATGGAAAAGATTGCTTGCTGAGGAATAAAATCCATAATGATGATATCTGCAGAACTAGAATAACGGACGCATAGCCCAGAAGATAAGCAAGTCAAAGCGCCAATGGGCCGACCGTGACCACCAACTAGATGGCGTGACAACCTGGTATAACGTGCAGATAATCTATGTTTAGCAGAGGACTTGTGATTGGCTGTGGCGATAGCGTAATAGTGAATAAACACTTACCTCTCTAATACATTCCTTGTCATTTATAGGCAGTACTAACTTCTCGATATGTTTTTGGGAACAAATATGTTCATCTAAATTTCTAACTATTTCTGTGCATAGTTTGCACTGAGCATGGCGCTTTCCCATAGCTAATACTCCATGAAAATGGTTGTGTGTTACTTTTAACTGACTGCCATCTTTTGTTTCGATAATAAAATAGTCTCCATTGACATCTTTTAACTTGTGTGTAGAAAAAGTTTTAGCATTTAAAATATTTATGTATTCTGTTAAGTTTGTACCACCATTGACAATAGTATTTTTATTTACCTTTGGAACTGTAATTGGTATCAGCTTTGAAGCTATTTCTTCGGCAGTATCTTTATTGTAGACTGGCTTTTCAATGTCGGGTATGTTTGTAACTTCATCACTACAGATTACAGTAGAATTAGCATTTGACATTTTATTGATAACTTTATCCAATCCTTCATGATTAGATGTTTCAATGTCAGATTCTGTTTTATCTTTTTCTAATTTTTCATGTGTGTATATTTTCAAAAAGTCATTTAACAATTTATCTAATATAACAGCATTTTTGTGAGCATTCGATTTCATATGGAAAGATTTGTCTTTGACAGGTGTTGTTGTAACACATGTTTGACAAAAATACATTGATGGGACAGAATTTTTACTGGAAAAGTTAAAGCCCATTTGCTTTTTAACTCTTTCTAATGCTACTTCTGTTATTTTTAGGAATGTCTTATGTTTAGAACTATCTATGTGTTCCTTCATAAATGGCAAGGGAACTTCGATATTGCAGATATAGCAGAAATTTGTACCTATTTCGCCATCGACATCGGGATTTGATGAATTTTCTGAAAAATAAGGTACATATAAACTTCGTTTCATTTGTTTTTTCAAAAAATAAATTTTCAATATCTGTTAGTAAAGTTTCATTACCATCGGATTAGCCATTATGAGACAGATTTAAAAGAAATATGATTATGTATGTTCTGTATATGTATATACTACATTTTGCAGGGCAGTGTCAGACTATCGAATTTGTCGGATTATAGAGAACTACCTAAGACCTATAGGGGTCCGGTTTTTTTTTACAAAAGAGTACCTTGTAATCTGACAAATTAGAGATTCTATATGTTATATTATATAATATGTACTCTGAAGTATAAATTATACTTGATTATGTATGTCAAACGTAGTAAATTAAACAACACAATAGAGAGCTTACGCTTTATTATAAAATTAAGGTCATTAATGCTATAGAATTATAAAAATATGCAATAACTTTACATTAGGAAATAGTTGTGTACAAACAAGTGTAAATGCTAAAATAATCAAAAATTATGGATCAATCAATTAAACAAGCATGAAAATATAATTGGTGCGTAGAAGTTATAACTTCTGCAATCATGCATTCAATAAAATCAATGCATCAAAAAAATATTCAATAATAAATAATTACAGGGGGTGCTCAAAAAAAATATTTAACAATAAATAATTACAGGGGGTGCTCAAAAAAATATTCAATAATAAATAATTACAGATTTATAGCCGGATTAGACAGGGGCTGGGTTTCCTGGGCTCCACTGTATTATGAAATGACACTTCAATTTAATTAATATGAATCAATTATGAATACCTGTGGGGCTTACATATGTGGCCTCTGATTCTGAGATATCTTCTTTATCATCTACTTCAAATTCAGTTTCATCATAATATGTATCCGTGTCGGAGATGTCCTGCTGATCTTGGATTTCAAATTCTAAATAGCAATCTTCATTCCTCAATCTTAAGTTACTTTTACTCCATAAAGGCAACAAGTCATTGTGGTGCTTTGGAGCAACATTCAATGTTGATAGGAGTGACAAGTCTACAGTATCTAATGGTAAGACATATTTTCCATTTGTTTCAAGTAGCTCCATGTCCATGTTTCAAAATTGTATGCACATGTATCTAAAAGGTGAATTCAGGGTTGAATTTGCTAAACATTCAAGCTAATAGAATTGTAAAAGATACTTTGCTGTTTTTTTTTAAGGACGTGAAAATGAATTAGCTAAGATCCTTGAAAAAAATTTATGTGTGTAATCTAGTAAAAAGCACCTCTTTCTCCCTTCCACAAATGCGTGCACAATAACTGCCACCACAAAGCCAATCAAATCAAAATTTGACTATCATGTCATATTGAAATTATTGAAATTAATACTGTAATGAATATTGAACAATTAATAAAGAAGACTGATTTATTAATTTTATTGTTCTTTCATTTAAAAATTATCACCTACCATAAAATTTACTTTATTTTATGGTAAGTGATAAAAAGCATTGTTTAACTTAAAAAAATTGTCATGTTATATTAAAAAAAAGAAGAAAAGAGCCATGGTAGCTCAGATGGTTAACACTCGCTGTTAATATAACAGAAAGCGAGTAACCCGGGTTCGATCCCTGTCGGCACCAACGAAATTGTTTATTGCAATTTTAAGTGCTGATTTACCAAATGCTCGGTGGTGAAGGAAAACATCGTAAGGAAACCTGCATGTCTGAGGAATAAGAAAAAATATTACGAAGACATGTGAGGTTCGCCAACATGCATTGGGGCAACTCGGCGGACACTTCCTTGCCCTGAAACCCTCTCAGAAATGAGGGGAGGCCTGTGCCCAGCAGTGGGACGTATATAGTGGGACGTATATAGACTTTACTATATTAAGAAGAACTTAAGTATGTCCGGCCTTTTTACCTAAATGTCCGGTTAAGCTTGCTGGTCTGTCCGGATTTTCAGTTTAAAGACCTGACTACCCTAGCCCCATATCATCTCGAGGGTGTTGTAATAGGTGACAGAGGGAAACAAATCGGGAGATTGGCAGTGTCTTCCTAATAATTATTTAAAAAAAACGACGGGTTGCACTCCGGGAGTGCCGGCAGAAGTGAAAACTTGAATATTAACGTTGTGCATTTTTGATATTTTGGAATGGTTAGGGAATAATTTTGCACGAATTGCTTTAATTATCACACACGAACATTCGCGCAAGCGCCCTGCGCCGCCTGAACGAAACAGCAGGCGCAGGCATACATTTTCGCCATGCCGTAGAAAGAGAGGGGGATACTTCCTCTCCTACGCCTATATCCGTCTTACGAATTTTCGATCAGAGCGACGCGAGTTTAACATCTTTTACCCATTACAAAAAGTGTACAACGCCACTAAAGAAGTTTTCACTTCAAAAACTGTAGTTGCCCGTACGCCAAGCATAGCAACTATTGCATATGTCTCTCCTATGTGGCAATCCCTGAAGCGACCTATATTCAGCAGTGAACTTTTGGCAAGCTGTTACTACAACAGTTAGCTAGTTAAATATTGAGCTAGCCCAAGGGTGTTGAAAATTATATTAAAAAAGAATATATTCAGAAGCACCGATGCTTTGGGAAGTTTGTAGTACAGATGGGCCGAATATTCGTTTTATATTCGGTATTCGGCAGCTTTACCGAATATTCGTATTCGGCCGAATATTCGGCTAAATCACCGAATATTCGTTTTCATAGTGTCCAATGTATTGAAATGTACGAATTGAGTAATGCGATGTCTTTTACTGTTGAAAGCGTATTTTATTTATGGGTTAAATGTACTTACTCTAGAGTGCCTTAAATGTATAAATTTATACATTTATGCTTTTGAGACACTGTAGATTTATTTCCGATTATGGCAAATAGAAACTTGATAAAATGTTTTTGGAAACAAACAAAGAAACATTACATTACATTAGTACATTTTCTTTACTTTGGTCGCCAGTTTCTCTAAAATAAGTCCAAAAAGTAAATCTTCTGCCCCTCACTTATATCATATAATTATCAATTTTCACTAAGAATAAAACAACGAAATACTTTTTTATTACAAGAATAGTCAAAACATAAGCATGTGCCGGCAATTTGCTCAGTACTAGATGATGCAATAACAGTCAGGTGTGGCGGGGAGCGAGAGGAAGGGTCCGGCGCTAATCCCGCGCGCTTTACGGTAACAAGTTTCGACATAAATTGGTTGGGTCCCGAGGTTATCCTGCCGAATAATGTTCGGCCGAATATTCGGTTCGGTAAAAATTTTACCGAACATTTGGCCGAATATTCGTATTCGGTGAAATCCATATTCGGCCCATCCCTAGTTTGTAGTGTATGAATATGAAGATGGTTTTTAGTATTATATTAGATTTCATAAACCACAAATCCTCGCAAAAGAACACCGATTCCTACCAAGGATGATATGCAAGGCTATTGAAATTAAAAAACATCCTAATTTCAATAGAGAACATGGATAGGTGCTGCCATCCGCTTGGGATCCTATAATTAACAAAATTAAAAGCAAACTCAAGCATACCATAAGCATAAGCTCGTTCTGCGTAGATCGGACCGAAAATTTATATTAAAAAACTTAAGGTAGCCAGGCTAACTATGACATTGGGACGTCAAACATCTCAGTCCCTCCCGTGACCATGGGTACTGTAAAGCATCCGAAATGTCGGGAACTAAAAATAAGTTAAATAAGTAAATTAAAAGCAATAGATTACATATATATAGTTTTATTCAATAATAGTTGTTGGTGAAATAAAAATACTTGTTAACTGATACATACATTGGGCGGGGGTTAGTCTACTCCTAACTTTTGATATTATAAATAGGACTAGATTAACACCTATTCTGCTCTCCTGTCCGGCGAGCAGTTTGGCGTATGGCTCTGGGGGAGAGCGCAGGTCGTGTTGATCCCCAGGGCAAGTCTGAGGAGTTCTCCTTCACGTGGTTGCCGCCTGTTATTTGGTCTGGTCCAATAGGAAACAGACAGAACAGAAACACTCGGACGATCCTCTTTTTCTTTTCTTTTATCCCTCCCCCTTATCCTATCCCAACCCAATCCAAGGTGTCAAGCGTACCGTGCCGATGGATGCGTGGCTGGAGGGAGTCCAGTCGCAAACAGTGCCTACCCGAGACCAGGACGATTCGGGTAGTATTTTAGCCCTTCCCTCGGCATGCGGGGCTCTGCCGGGGGTGACCAAGTATTTCCCTAGCTACTCGTGGGAACAAAATGGATGAAAACCGACATTTTGTTAAAGACAGTGAGAAGTCTCCTTTAATGGAATTAGCTGCAGGTTTGGAAGAGGCTCTTTTAGCCTCACCAATACCCTGCAACAGTGCGCCCCAACCTGGGACGAGCCGTGAAGTGGAGGGCACGTTTGCAGCCGAACCACAATCGGAAACGAACCAGGGAGGGGAAAAGAAAAAGTTCGCTAGGCCTTATAAGCTTAGTGGGGCTGCGAGGAAAAGGTACCGAAGGCTGATAGCAGCTGAGATTGGAGCCGAAGAGGCCCTCTCTCTCTGCCAGAAGCCTTGGGACGAAATTCCTCTGCCCAAGCCTCCCCCAGTTCCGAAGGCGAAAAAACGCAGTTGGTCTGAGAAAGAGTCCCCCAAAGACCAGCCCAAGAAGACTGTGAAGCTGGCAACGGAGGAGAAGAAGCTCAGCTTCAGTGCCGTAGTTGGCTCCGCGCGTATAGGAATTCGCAATTCGAATCCTATGAGTGTGGAGCAGATGCGGCTGGTCCACCGGGCACTAACACAGGCCATCGCTAAGACGGCCTGTGGGTCGCAACCGGGAATGGGCCCAAAATTTTCCGGTTTCACACACAAGCCAGGTTTGATTCTGGTAACGTGCCTGAACAAGGCAAGCCAGGACTGGATTGTGGGTGAAATCGGAAAACTAAAGCCCTGGCCGGAGGCAGAGCTGTCGGTAATACCCGAGGGCGAACTGCCTAAGCCTACGCTGGGCATTGCCTACTTGCCCCGCAGCGAAGCCGACTCTCCAGATGAGGCAGCTGTGCTGTTAAGGGCACAAAATGAAGGTCTCCATACTGAGCTCTGGAGAATCCTCCACCGTAGAGACGAGGAGAATGGGTTCCTAGTAACCTTTTCTCTGGACGACCCATCGGCGGAGGCTCTTCGGAAGGCAGGCGGCAGAGTCGTCCTTGGCTTTAAAATGATAACTTTTAAAGTCAGGGGAGGCTCTGACGCGGCAATGGAGGCCGAACCGCCCCAACCCCAATCCCCTGAGCCCTCCACCTCTCGGGGTGAGGCTGGAACGCCACCGGTGAGAGTGACGAAGACCCAAGGCGCAGATTTCACCTCGGTCCGACGGCCTCCGCTGGTGTCGTCCAGGCCGGGGGGAGGGGAGGTGGGAGCGGTTCGAAGAAAAGTAAGGCGGGGGTCAAGTTCACAGGAAAAGGACGTCCTCGTCCTCAACAGGCGGAAAAGACCCCTGCCCCCCCCCCACGTCCATAAATGGCTAAATCCAAGGGTAAGACGAGGGTCCTCCAAGCAAATTTTCACCATGCAGCAGCTGCTTCTGCCGTGGTGGAGGTTTGCTTTACAGAGGACAACATTGACCTCGCCCTTATACAAGAGCCTTGGGTTGCCAACGGTCAAGTTCTGGGATTGGCGGCTGCCGGTAAGATTCTTGTCAATACCAAAGGCAGTAGACCCAGAGCTTGTATAATTTACAATAAAAATATTGAACTTTTAGCTGTTTCAGAGTACTGCAACGATGACCTGGTTACAGCCTTCATAAATCTCAAGGGATGCACAGGCGAGTACGCAGATCCTACCATCGAGTTAGAGCGAGTGGCGGAGTTCGCCCGAAAACACAACGCCGAACTTGTGGTGTGTTGTGATGCTAATGCTCACCACACAGCCTGGGGAAGCACCAACATCAACGAAAGAGGTGAGTTACTTTATGATTTTCTCATCTCCAACCGCCTGGTAAGCCTAAACTTAGGTTGTACACCAACCTTTGTAACGCGTGCTAGGCAAGAAGTGTTAGACATAACCTTTGCTACCAATAACATGTCCAGGCGGATAAATGACTGGCATGTTAGTAGCGAACCTCGATGTCTGATCACAA